TGCTTCCCTAAAGTATCTAAAAATCTTGATCAAATATAAAAATTTATTGTTATTGTTATTAGTAAATTAGTAAAATAATGCTATTAGCAGGAAATTGCAATTTTTTGACAACAATGAGAATTAAAAATAAGAAAAGAAAGGCTTAATATACTATTTTCCATTTTTATTAATTTTAGTGTGATAGATTGTTTATAAATGAAGAATTATAAAAAGTGTAGTTTCTCATAATTATCTATCCTAAAGATTCGTGTCGACCAAGCGAGGTTAAGTCGGCCATATTGATTGTAGTATTTTAATAATGAGAATACCAAGTTTTTTTATATCCAGTAAACTTATTCCTATGGATAGTAAACTTTGGTATTCTTATTTTAGGAATACTTTTTTTTTAACCACAGGAAAAAGTTTTCTAGGAGGAAAAAAACTTTTTTTTCAGTGTAGTATTTTACAACTAATTTTTCTGTGGACTACAATGAACTATCACTTAACAATGCGACATTATAATTGTCTGTTTCCTTTCATAATTTTTTGATAAGCATGGTAATTAAAAAAAAAAAAAATTGACGGCTATTATAAACGATTAAAATATCTTAACCATCAATATTTCCTCTCACCAAAGACTCATCCTCATATATCGATACAATAATTATTACTTTCGGGGAATGCGGACTCTAATTAACGGGAGGGAGAAAGTTAATAGCATTACACGGAATTTACCCGTTAATTGTTTAGTATTACGATAATACACAGAGGGATAAAACCCCACAACAAAGTAAACCGGATAGTCTCTCATTTGATTCAAACGGCTAACACAATTTACGATCGTTATCTTTGTAGTAGAGGAATTGCGTTACTGGCTGATGCTTGCAATTGGAAACATTTACCCTCTTGTATCCGCTATTATTTATCTCCTAAATTGTTGTATGCTCACTCGCTTGGATACCATTCTATCGTGATCGCTATTATTTATTTATTTTTTTTCTATTATCTATTGATTTATTGCCTCGTGATAGTCATTTCCTAAAGCGTTATAATTTACTCGTTTAATTATATCATTAGTCGTTATAATAAATTATTTCTTTTAAATATTAAAATTAATTATCTATATAACAAAATAATTTTTATAAAATTATTTAATAATTTATTTTTCAATTTTTAATAATAAAAATCAATTTTTTTATTCTTGTATTTAATTTAATTAATTAGACTTTTTATTTTTTTTTTCTCCAAAAATTAGAACGATTATTTTTAATTAAGCGATCTTATCTTTTTTTAAACTGTAAAATAAATTGAAAATATAAAACTCATTATTTTATTTGAACTCATAAAATATATAACGACTAAATAATTATTTAAAAGTCTCGAGGTGCTTAGAACGATATGATAAGACTTGGTATTGTGATAAAAATAACTTTTTACCATACGAATGACGTTGCACTGTCAATTGCTAGAATATGAATTCGTAAAATAAAATAATCAATTTTCTTGGGTAATTAATTACAAGATAACGATGCTTGATTTATTTTAAAAATTTTACAGTGACTTTAAGGTTCGTTTAAATTTAGTTACTTGATAGGTTATTTAATATTTAAGGAAGAAATTCGGATTTATTATTTATATTTAATATTTTAACCAAAAATTAAAGACTTAATATAGGTCATTCACAAGTTATTTTATTTATTTTTTATAAATAAAATTTTTGGTATTGAAATTCAATTAAAATAGAAGCCATAAGTTCATCAAATTTTTATTTGTAAAATTATTTTTATACTATTAAATTATTCAAAACAAAAAATTCAATAATTTTTAAACTTATTCTTAATTCAGTATCAAGTTAAAAATTTTAATTAACAAAATTAATATAATATTTAATTATTAATTTATATTAAAAACTTTAATGACTGTTACATTCAATCAAACTTCAATATTAATTCTTTAATTTGTAATAATTAACAGACATATATATTTAAAATTTTAATTGAATAACCTCCGTTGATAATGTAGAAAATTAAGGCAATTAATTTTATATAGAGATCAATTGTAAAATCTAATTAGCTTGCAAGTCTTCAAAAAAGAAGCTTTCAATCACTTATTAAATCTTGATAATTGAAATTATGTCTAAAAAATAACAAATTTAATTCTAATATATTAAAGATTATGGTGACGATAAAGTAAGTGCAATTCGCAGAATTATTATGCTAAGTTATTTTAAATTCTTATTTTCAATATTAACTTCTAAATTTAATCTAATTTTGTTTATATACAAATTAATAAAAAAAATTAAAATTTTAATTAAATTAAAAAAAATAAAATTATTTTAAAAATCTAATATAAAAAATAAATTTTTAAAATTCAACCAAAGTAATTTTTTAATGATAGTTTGCAATAAACAAATAAAACAATAATTTTTATTATAAAATAAAAAAACAGTCGATAAATTTACGGATGTATTTTATGAATATAATTTATCGGAACTGGGTAATTAAAGTCATTAATTTGTCAAAATTGCTTGATGTTTGACATATTTACCAGTAGAGTTCGTGAGGTGTGATGTATTATAAATCAAAAACTAATTTTGGCAGCATTGGAACAACCCGAACTGTATTAAATGTACTTTATGTTTTTTAAAAATAAATTTAGACAAAGATGGCAAGACTGAGATTTTATTAAACGTGTGTCTTAAGGTAATTACTAATTAGTTAGGTTTATTTTTAGATGAGAGTATATATTATTGTAGACTCTGGAAAATTTTTACCCAATCAGTTATCGTATATTTAAGCGGTGGGGAGATTGTAATTTATTTTACACGAGGTTGAAAAGAATCCGGCTTGAGCCAGGATTCGAACCCACGCCTGGCCAGTCCTGACTTTCGAAATATCATTAGCTATTTATTTATAAGCTTGGTAGGATTGTATCGATCAAAACGCCATCAAGTGTACTTTATATTTCGTCAATAAAAGAAAAAATAGTGAAATAAAAGCTTGACAATTTTTGTGTTGAAAAAAAAAAATTGAATAGGTAGTGAATAATTTATTGAATAAAAAATGAATAATAATATGCAAAGCAAAGTTGTTATAAAAGAGGAAATAAGTGGCGAAAGTGATGATATTGGTGTGCTTTCAACCATCGGAGAGGACTCTGGAGAAGGTTCTGGAGACGACTCGGTTAATATGGAGCCCAAGGAACACAATGAAACATGTGATACATGTAATGATTCGACCCTCGACGAGCCAAAGGAAATGCTTTACATTCAAGCTCGCAAGAAATTGAACAAAGTCAATCGCATTTCCAAGAGCACTCTACCGCCGGCCCCAAGGACTCCTTCCAAGAGTGGCGTCATCCGAGAATCCAGTCTGGGAAAGTTCAAAGATATACAAGCTATCTTTGAGAGCAAGCTTTTTGGTAACAAATCGCCTTCGTCGTCTTCGTCTGGACCCAGGATTAAATTGTCGCCAAATAATATTGGGAAGAAATTCGCAGATTATTTTACGCTGCACAAATCTCCTCGTCGCTCGCTCAATTTCTTGGGTAATTTTATTTTTATTCATTTCAAGGATAAAAGAATTAAGTAATGTTACTTTTTTATTTTTTTTTTTTTTTTTTCAGATGTTGACAAGGCAACAACTTCAAAATTTGATCAAAAGGATAATTAATATAGTTTTTATTTATAAGTTAATTTAAAAATTAAAATTTAGAATTTTGATCTTTAATTAAATAAAAAATTAATTTTTTCAATGTGCATGTATCTTTTTAATTTTTCTATAAAATAATTGTAATTTATGTATTTAAAAAAAAATCATTTATTAGAAATAAATTAACTATAAAATTTTATTATTAAATTAAATCTTTCTTTTTATTTCTACCTACTATTTTAGTCATAGGTAATTATCATTTGATTGTTGTCAAACAATTACTGTACTTAAGACCTAGCTACCTGAAATTTACAGCCCAGGTTTTATTTTCTATTTATTGAAAAATTTCCTGGTAATTGCTCGGTAGAAAATAAGGATTAATTTTCAAAAGGTCACTAACTTAATGGGCTTTAATGTTTGTAATTAATTGTATGTACATAATATAACCAGAAAGTTAAGAATTAAAAATAATTTTTAATGAGTAAATTTTTTTTTTAATTACTCGCAATTATTGAACATGGTAAAGTTTATTAAAATTTTTTGCAATAAATTTATAATTAAGTCCTAATATTTAAATTGTGTCAATAGGTGTACCATTCCCACCGTCTCACAAACTGACAGTGGCAGAGGTATTCGATGCTCGAACAGGAAGGCCTCGACCAGATGTACTCAAGCACCATTTCGTCCTCGAAGGCAGAATTGACGAAGCAGCAGCATTGCGCATTGTCAATGATGGTGCTGCTCTTCTACGATCAGAGAAAACAATGATCGACATAGAGGCCCCAGTTACTGGTAAGTCAATTTTTACCCTTAATCCTAACTAAAAAAATTACCAATCCATAATAATAATATAACCAGTAAAATTACTAAGATAATCCTAAAAAAAAAAATTTTATTTAAAAATCTATGTCGGTCTGTATTAATTTTAATGATAATTTTTTTTTTTTTTTAATCAATTACACAATTAATTTTTTTCTTTAAAAATGAATGAGCGTTATGAGGCGTGCACTTTTGGATTTTCCAAACTTTTTTTATCTTATTCATGAGCCAAACACGTTTGAAAATTCACTATCAACTGTTATTTAAATATCTTTCGTAAAATTTTTTTTTCTTTTGTTACATACAAATGTAGATACAAAATTGCACAATAATTACAAAATTTTGTGTAAAATCTCTTATTGCCATTTAGCCTTGGCTTTGGCATAATTATAAATAAACTAAACAAAATTAATTATAATTTTAAACATGTATTTTTCTTCTCCAGTAGACAAATATTTTTTCTTTTGCTCCTCGAACAGAATGCTCCATTATAATTTTCTTCAGATCGATTAACGGTTAAGGACAAGCCGTACTGAGTGGTGGTATCTTCGGTGACACTTGCAATGTAAACTCTGTCCGGAGTTACCACCACAATTTCTATTATATATACTGTTAAATATATAGCACATTAAATTATACAAGAAATAATCCAATAAGGCGTGCACACAATTCGCGCTCCAGTAACGTCCTTGACAAAATTCATCCAGATCTCCATCTGATTATCCCTTGTCTGATAAATATATATTTATACACACATAAATATTAAATTGATAATAAAATTCATGAATAAATGATTGATAGTAATTAATACACGCTGTAACAATAATATTGCAGTGTGTTAAATTAATTCCGAATTACCCAATTGAATCTACAGGCAATTTGGGGCTGGGTGTTGTATATTGTAATTAATTCTGACAATAATTGATGCTAAGGGCATACTAGTAATAATAATAAATCCATTAGAGAGATATATTTATTTATAATTTCAATTTGTTTGTTTATTCAATATGAATTGCTTCTATTCTGATAAATTATTGATTATGAATTAATTTCGCTCTATAAAATTTAATTTGAATATTTTTTTTTAAGAAAGATCAAGAGCAGAGTTTGATTTTTATTTCTTTTAATATGGAGAGAGATAAAAAAAATTTTTAGATGATTAAAGAAGTGAATTGCTGAATCAGCAAAAGTTGATGAGAAATTTTTTTGCAGGATATAATTTTTCGGGTCATAGTTGGATTAAATTTTCTTCCGTGACTAATTTTAATTTTAACACCTACTATAGGTACTCAACCTGCATTTGGCTCGGTAATAGGCCTCTTAAATTTTTGTACGCCAAAAAATAATTTTTAATAACCATGGTAAGAATATATTATTATTTGTTTAAATTGTCTTGCAAATTTTGTGAATAATAATAACTAGCAACCTTGCAATCACTATATGATTGACGTGACCTGTGAAATATAAAAATAAAAATTTTGCTTTATTAAATAATGAATTTTGTTAAATTGCAGTGTACTTTCTTAACTAATGATTTTTTTTTAAATATAAGCTCATCCCGATGTTACACTCACTAAGAGCTTTCATTTGAGTACCCACATGCATTTTGATATATTTTTCATATATTTATATATATAATATATATAAATATACGAAAAATTGATGTGGGTACTCAAATGAAAGGTCTCGATGAGTGTAATATCGAGATGAGCTTATATCTTCAAAAATATCATTAGTTGACAAGATAGCAAAGCCAGTTCTTATTTATTGATATTTTTTAAGATATAAGCTCATCATGATGTAACACTCATCAAGAGCTTTCATTTGAGTACCTACATGCATTTT